AAATTGAAGAACATTATTATTTTGTTTATTATCTTGATTAAATAAAATAAAATAAAATGTCTCTTTTCTGTTTAAGAAAACATGTTATGACTTTAACTCGAACAGAGTTCTGTCGCTTTAAAGGAGGCCTTTGGAGATCAGGGTCAAAGCCAGGTGGGACGGTTTCTTCCACTCCTAGGTGACCACTATACTGGTCATTCAAGATAAACTAATCTTTTTATGTATTTATTTATTTTTTGGTGGGGGGGTGGATAACTTTTTAATATAATAATCAAAGATGGAGACACGTTTAAAAGAGGATAAAATATCTTCATGAAATTAGATTTTTTTTCCTGTTACTTTCCATTGACCACTAGATGGCAGCAGAACAGCAACTCATCCCTACAACTTCGTAACAGGTCTTTTATTTTCTGTTTCCCAGGCCAGGTTCAGAGCAGAGAGTGCATCGAGGATGTGATTCGATTTGCCGCTAAAGAGCGTCTCTTCCTCATGGCTGATGAGGTACTGTTGTCTAAAGGCGTTTATTAATCCTCTTCCAAACTTTAGTGTCTTAACTCCTGTTAGCAGTGCCGCTCCTTAAAATCAAACATTACCTGCTTTAGTTCTCCAGCCTCTGGTATGTGACCTTCTGACCCCCACWCACAGGTGTACCAGGATAACGTGTATGCTGAGGGCTGTCAGTTCCACTCGTTTAAGAAAGTTCTGTTTGAGATGGGACCAGAATACTCAGAAACGGTTGAATTGGCATCGTTCCACTCCACCTCGAAGTGCTACATGGGAGAGTAAGTTTTTTCATCGTGTTCGTTATTATACACTAAGTTACGTCTTCTTTGGGTTTTGTTGTATTTCTTTTTATGTCTTGGTCAAATGTTAATTTCTCTGCCCTCAGATGTGGCTTCCGTGGGGGCTACATGGAGATCATTAACATGGACGATGACGTGAAGGCCCAGTTGAACAAGCTCCTATCGGTCCGTCTTTGTCCTCCTGTTCCGGGGCAGGCTCTAATGGACCTGGTGGTCAACCCCCCTCAGCCCGGGGAACCTTCATATGAGCGGTTTATTAAGGTAAGCAGGATACAGGACATCCTACAGATGTGATGTGACATGTTTTCTTTAAAACATTCCTTCCATCAGTAAAATGTTGATTACCGTTTCACCTTTAGTGTTGCTGAGCTATTTTGAAGTTTCTCCAATCAAAAGGTCTAAGTTCTTGAACAGAAATTAAAAACTGGAYGTCTCTTGTTGCTTGAAGGTGTTTCATCTCTCATCCTAAAGGTTTCTTCAGTTCTGGTAATGGTTTCAGGTTTACCACAAAGGATCATCTGAGTCACGTGAGTCACTCWTCCACTCATCCATCCAGTCCTGCGAGTCACTTGGATCATTGTTTCTTTCGAGATGTTTACCAACATGYGAAGTGCTCTTGGTCACATGTTATAAGACGTGGAATGGTTCTCAAACCACCCAGGGAGGAGGTCAAGGCTGTATTGTAGGGAGGTTGGATAGGTGAAACTGGAGGCCAGAGTTTCACAATCGTTCAGACCTTGAAATGTGTGACCAAAAATCTTCACATGTTGTCACAAAGTACAATGACTCAAATAATTCACAGGATGGACGGGTGGGTTGGTGACTTCAATGACCCTCTTGGTGTGACTGTCTCAACGACTAATAAGTCTGAAACTGACCATTCATTGTGGGTTTCCAGCAAACCGGTTCTCCTTGCTCGTCCAGAGCCACAGTTTTAACTAGATTAGATTTTTTTTGTACTGGCATCAGACTGAAAAACCTCTTTGCTGGGTCAGATATAAAAGAACCACGTTGATCCTGATGTTTCTCCTCTTTCTTCGTAGGGCTGCAGTCACTTTTTTCAGTTGACTTTTGCATCTCATAAACACCGTAAAGTTTAGTTTTTTTATCATCAATTGATGAATCCTGCTTGAAACAATGTAACATACTCCTGGTTGCATGTCAAAATATGCAGGTTGGCATTGTGAGATATTTAAAGGGATCAACGATTAGTTGTAACATTAGACTTTATTTGATAAACATATATTTTAACTGTAAAATAAAGACTGTAAAAATACTGTAGGATGTTCAGTTTTTATCATTTTTAAACTAAAAGTTTAAAAATATATTACACAGACGGGGCCATTTTATTTACACGCAAAGCATTCTGGGTAAATGATGATGTGGACAGGTCATCGGTGTGAGGCTGCTAGCGAGCTATATCCACCCTGAAGGTTAATCTTGGACAATATCTGACGATTGGCTCTTTTAAATGGAGCCAGAGAGCGCTGACAGAGAGGAGAAGGTAGAAATGACTCAGCCTGTAACTGAAAATATGGATGGAGGACAACAGAGCTGCTTCATGGAAGAAGAACTTCAGCTTAGCCTGTTAGCTTTAGCGTTAGCCCCAATACTATCACCATATATATGTATTAGCTCAGCGCTACACATTCTCCTCTCGTCACTGAGGTCCTCCATCCACATGACAGAGAGGGGAACACAAAAATGACTCAGCCTGCAAATGAAAATATGGATGGAGGACTTCAGTTTAGCTTGTTTGTCGTGCTAGCGCCGAGCTAATACATATAAGGCAATATAGCATCAGCACTAGCGCAAAGGCTAACAGGCTAAGCTGAGGTTCTTCTTCCATGAAGCAGCTCTGTTGTCCTCCATCCATATTTTCAGTTACAGGCTGAGTCATTTCTACCTTCTCCTCTCTGTCAACGCTCTCTGGTTTCATTTAAAAGAGTCGATCATCAGATATTGTCCAAGATTAACCTTCAGGGTGGATATAGCTCGCTAGCAGCCTCGCACCGATGACCTAGTTGACATCATCATTTACCCAGAATGCTTTGCGTGTAAATAAAATGGCCCCGTCTGTGTTAAAATGTTTTTAAAAATGATAAAAACTGAACATCCTACAGAATTTTTACAGTCTTCATTTTACAGTTAAAATATATGTTTATCAAATAAAGTCTAATGTTACAACTAATCGGGGATCCCTTTAAAAAAGAGCTTTTTTAAATTAGACTTCAGCTTGCAGAAATAATGAAACCAACATGGCAGCTTGTGTTGGTTAAAGGTGGGCTTGAAACGTGATCTGATACAGAAATTCCACCAAAAGCAGGTTGAAGTTTGCAGCACCATTCATGGTGGTTCTCTGGCTGTGGAAAAACAAACAGGTTTTTGTATTTCTTTTTGAACAGAGTTATCTAAGAACCAACTCAAGCCTCAGCTCTCATCTACATCTGGAGCCACTTTAGTGAAAAAAAATCTTGTTTTATACCTGAAGAAGACTTTCAAATGATGGGATAAATATCTTTAAGGAACCAGAAGTCCAGTTCTGTTCAAGTACTCAGGACTGAATGACCTCAGTGACTGAAAATCTGCATCTGCATGTAAATTTCTTGTTGGTTCACTCAATAAGTTTTTTTTCTTTTCCCTCTCTTTTCCACTCCCAGGAGCGTACCGCCACGTTAAGTACCCTTGCAGAGAAGGCCAAACTCACGGAGCAGGTTCTGAATACTGTGCAGGGCATCAGCTGCAACCCTGTGCAGGGAGCTATGTACTCCTTCCCTAGCATAACCATCCCTGAAAAGGCCATCAAAGAGGCCACGGTCAGTCCAGAACTTTTTCCTCTTTAAATATTCCAAACATTCATTTTTCTTTGCATTGTTGTTTCAAGGTTATTAAAACTGCTTAGAAATGACAAGAAAGGAGAAGTCATTTTTGTCCCCATCACCATATTAATACAATCATAATTAGCGCTGCAATTAAAACCCAACAAGGGAAGTACAGCTCAGAGGTAGGTTAGATAATTAAAGTTGCTCGTGGTGCTGTACGTCCACCACGCTGTTTGCTAAAGAGAACGAATGATTTCCAATAGCTTGCAGGAGCAGTTCTGTCTTACAGTCGACTGCTCTGTGGGTATTTCAGCGTGGGTTGAAGAGAAGAGCCACTGAGAAGCTGATAAGTCGTTCAGAGGAGAAGGTCAGAGTCAGCTGACCTACTGACACCCGATCAATCGCACCGACTCCGCCCGCAATCCCTCCGTTGTTGAACTCGTTCGCGTGCAAAGAAGAAAGAGCTTAATTATGTCATCGTTACTGTCAGCAGGCTTCAAACATTACTGTAAAACTAGCTGCGCTTTTGTTTATCTCCACGTTGAATCACCGCTGAGGTCAGTAGTGATTTACAAACCTTTTATCTGAATGAATCTGTAGAACTGTAGCAGAAAAACGGAGGTGAACAGGAAGTTCTGCAGAAAAGCAACTTGTCAACACAGTAAGACTTGAACTGAAGAGGGTTTGAGAAAGTGTTGATCAGAGCTGTGACACACGGTGACTAAATCAAGCATCCTGTGCTATAATTTGGTTTAATTTACCAGAAAATAATTTTGATTTCTTTGTACTAAATTTAAGTCAAACCGATGAACAAAGTTTTAATGAAGGCTAATTACAAATTAAGGTAATGTGACAAAAATGTGAAAAGTTTGTTCCAAGAAATCCGATTTTTTTGCCTGCTGTATGAACATAGCCTCAAGTTCACTTAAAAAAGTATTTCTTCCTTATCCACACTTGCAGAATACCAAGCTTCATTTATACAACTTGTCTTGTTTTTGTTAGGACATTGGACAGGAACCCGACATGTTTTATTGCATGAAGATGCTGGAAGAGACGGGAATCTGCCTCGTTCCTGGGAGCGGCTTTGGTCAGAAGGAGGGGACCTACCACTTCAGGTACAGAACACAAAGTTACAGTTTTGTTTTTTTAAAATAGGTCCTGTATTTTGTTGTTTGTATCATAAAATGTCAGTGAAGTTGCAAAAAAAATAGCAAGTAAAATTCTTGTAGCAGGGTTGTGTAAATTAGAGAAATCCTCGTTTTTCTGTGGTTAAAGAAAATTCTCAAATTTATCTGTCATTATTATTTTTTCCTACCTTTTAGAAATAATGAAAAAAATATTGAACAAGATATGATTATTATTTTTTTAGTGATATTCAGTCACTAACAGGGTTTTTTGTAAATAGATGAGACATTCAGCTCTGCTAAAATAAACAGCAACAACAGCAGATCAAAGGTTGTAAAGTGTTCCTGTATGTTAGAAACACATTAACTCCATGTGTCACAACTGTTCTAATCTATTGTTAAATATTATTAAATGTATTTAGCACAAACATTAAGGAAATTTGTGTTTAGCAGATTTTTTTCTTTGTTGTAAAAATGTTTTTTGGCAATAAATCTCATACCATTGGAAAGCCTTTTAAATTCCCTTTTTTAAATGCTGCCACATTTGTAAGGAACATGCATTTATGGGATGAGCAGTAGAGCTGAGTATGTGGTAATCTCTGCCAAGCAGCTTATTACTCCTTTTCCTGTCTTCACRCAGAATGACCATCTTGCCGCCGACGGACAAGCTGAAGGTCCTGCTGAACAAAGTCCAGGAGTTCCACCTGAAGTTCAACCAGCAGTACTCTTAAAACCCACCCTCACAGAAAGAGGGACCTGATGCCAACCAACTATGAAAAAAAAAAAAGCAAAAGCCAATTAAAATGCATCCGTTTCCAATAAGTGCCTTTTCTGTGATGAGGGGGGTGGGGGCACAGAGTGGACGATGTGGACCTCACTCACTGGACACTGTTGTGCTTCAGACCACAAAACAAAACCTGGGAGGAAAAACTGGTCATTTCTGATGCAAAAACAAACAAAAACAAAACCATATGGCTTCATGTATTATCTGTAATGTTTAATTCTCTTAAGGATGTATATACTCTGTGAATTTGTGAGAATCTGGTAACATAAAGCCAACATAAGACTGTACAAGAAAAGAAGCTGATGCTGCTTTGAAACGTAGAACATGTTTAACAGATTAAATGCTTCATTCCTGCAGACTGTACACGATAAGGAGGAAAAACGTCCTACATGCATGATTTTTCTGTAAGACATAATTTTGTTGAGGACGCAGTCGTTTGTTTTACAATAGTGTTTACTTTAAAAAATTGTAATTAGAAAAACATGTTTTCTTTGATTTTTAAAGTATCTATGAAACTTTCTTTATGGCATTATTGATTTATTTTTTCTGAAACACGTTTTTATTATTTATATAAAGTTGTAGATCTCAAAAACTCCTGGGAGTTTCTGTTCAAATTTATCTAATTTTAGGAAACAAATGGTACTAAATAAGCTGTTTTTTTTAGCATTAGTTTTCTTCAGATGAATGCAGATGATTGTTTGTCATTTCCCACTTCATGTTTTTTTTATTGTATATAGTGAAACTGACAAACACTGAAAGCTGATGAGTAAATATTAATGTGACTACAATGTTTTGAATGACAACACCTTTGCCTTTATTTTATTTTTTAATAAAACAATGAAACTGCCCCGCTGACTGAAACATGCAGAGCTTTTTGCTGTTTCAGCCTAAATTAAGCTTGTTAGATCAGAACCTGTGGTGTAATTTTGAGCAAAATTCTTGATTAAAATTGCTGTTTGAATGAGATTTGTTAAGGGCTTTATTGACCGTTTCWTTCTCAGAACTGTAAGGGGTTTATTTTAAAAAAATAACTTCAAAAAACTTTTATAATTACTCTTCTTTTAGCGTTAAAGTCACTGATTCTTTTTAAAAGTAGCCCTCAATAACGAAACCACACATTTGTCCCAAATAATTACAGTCTAATTTTCTGCTTTTCAACTGATTTTTATTTGATAAAGTTTTTACAGATAAATAATAGTGAAAAACTGTTAATTTTGGATTATTTTCCTTTAAAATATTTTTTGCAGGCCCCTCCAAACAGCATTAGCTTCTGGCTTGGAACCCCCTTGCAATCTCACAAACAGTGCCATAATATGTAAAAAATAAAATAAATTAAATTAACATTTTAACAAATTATAATTTAAAATAACATTTGTATATATATTGAAACATTTATTAGATTTATTTTTGTTTTGTTTTTTCTCTCCAGCTTTCTGAGGCGCCCCCTGGTGGCCACCCTGGCTGCGGCACCACTTTGAGAAGCATTGCTCTAAGGGTGTCAAACTGGGCGGCCAAAATTCCAAACTTGGTTCAAGTCAGGGGCTAACTCTGTCAATATTTAATTAAAGGTTTTATAAGCAATTATTACAGAAATATAAATGACCAAATTATATATTTTATACTGTAGCATTTGGGACATGCATAACCAAACAAATAAAAAAAATGATTAAATTTAGAAAGATACATCTTAAGCATTCATTTCTTATGCCTTAGTCTCTAGCAAGAACGTTTTAATTTATTATTTCTTAGTGAAACATTTGATCACAATCCAGCAAATCGGTAAAAAAAAGGAAAAAAATCCATACATGTGACTTTAAAATAGGAAAACTTAATTTTCTTCTTTTCATATCACAATCATAGATTATTGGAATTTTTTGGCTTGACAGTTTGCTGTCTGTCATGACAGCAGTAGACTAAATCCAGTGACACAAAGACAAACTATTTTACATTTAAAATATTGCCTTTGGGACCGAATAAAATGTTGATGATGGCCGGGTTTTGCCCACCGGCCTTCAGTTTGACGTTCTCTAAGTGATGCATATGATCTGTCCCTAACACTATGGCAATAACTGTTGGCGTCAAACCTGCCTGTAAGCAAAATATATTTTGAACCACTGGTTGGATTTGAATTAATAACTTTCAGAAAGTAATAAATTGTTTTGTTAAATTCAGACCCAGAAAGGATAGATGCTTCTTTATCAGACCTCCAGTCTGTCTTTTCCAATATTGTTCTAATAATCATTTCTAGACTATACTGGCTGTAAAATCTGGATATTTTCATCTAAAATCCCAGTCCTTATTTCAAAGTACCATTTCTGCAGCATCCCACTCCAATAAAAGCTGCACAAGGCCGGTGAGGAGCGCTTTATTTCACAGAAACTCCTCTTCTCATCCCAAATAATGCAGCCCATTGATTCTGAAGGGTTTAAGTGTTTTGTGTTTGTACTATTAAAGCTTTTTTTCTCATTTTTTTTCTTGTTACCATTATATATTTCATTGAAATATTCATTTTTCTACTAATTTTATACTTCTAAATTTATTTATGAAAAAAAACTTCCACCCAACACAAAGACTTTAAGGTTGTCACAGAGAAGCATATAAACTGTGCTCGTTAGCAATTACAAGAAGTGGTTCGAGCTACGATGTCTGATTACTGCTGGAGGGGGGAACAAACGGCTGTGAATTATTTTGAACACGAAAACAAGAAACGATAGAAAGGCTATAACTCGTCAAACGCATCATTAGCATTTTTTGTCAAGTAAAATTTCAAAATCATGTGAATAATTTTCCATTTCTGCTAAGCAGGAATCAGCAATAACAGTCTCCTTCATCTCCCGCTGATTTAGGAGAAAAGAAAATATCTTAAAATTCAACAGCAAAATTTTCATGGATACAAATGAAGGTGGTGAAAACAAACAAACGTTAAAAAAACGGTTTGTGTAATTCATCGAGCTCACGACTGAGTAATGATTAGTCATTCGTTACAAGCAGCTCTTGCCAGCTGTCATTTGATCTATTGCTTATTTGAAAATATTGAGTTTTGCAGCTTTGAAACGAGGGGAAAAAACATTTTGTCACAGCATCTCCTTTAATCAACCTGATCGGTTCATAAATCCGGTCTTGTGGTAATAAGTGAATTGTTAGGTTGAGGAACAGGACGGGCTCTTGTCACCGGACGGTTAAACAGATAATTGGGCGAGTGGTGTAGAAAATTTCCATTATTTTGAGGTAAAGCGTGAGGTTAAAGATGGCACGATGTGAGCTGTCAACACGATCAGAGCAAACCATCACCTCTAATGATGAGCTGCTGTTTTTGGATTGGACGGGTAAAAAAAGGCACAACGGTTTTTATTGTCTGCGCAGTCGATGTGTCGCCCGTATTAATGGCTGTTCGGTGCAGTTTCAGAGCAGGAATGATGAATGCTCCTGCAGGTTATGTGTGTGTGAAGCCGAAAGGATGATGCAGAGTGTGTGTCCAAAGTGAGGCCTGTAGTTTGAAGGGGTTTTCTGCTCTCTTCCTGTCTACTCCACAGTGGCTGTCAGCTTTAATTACCTTTGACAAAAGGGGCCTTCTGAATCCTAATTATCCCAAGCCCTGTCTTTCCCAGAGCCCTTCACCATTCATTCCCTCCGCCTGACGCAGTCGCTCGTTCCAGTCCTCTTCACCCAAAATTAATTGGCTGCGTTCGCAGTTTTCCCCCCTCTCGTCTCCTGACATCTTTTGGGAATCAAAGGTCATCATTAGTCCGGGTGAGGATGTCGGGGGGCGAGCGACAGAGAGACAGTTGTGCATCAGGCGTCAGCGCTGTCATGTGGCTGTCGCAGGAAATGACAACGACCAGTCTTCATCCACTGGGCTCGGTCTGTGTGAATGTGGAGACGATGTTTGACCATCACATGTGGAAAGTGATGACCATTTGACTAATTTTGGGAAAAGTTTTATGGGTTGAAAAATCATTTTTTAAGCTAAATTAACTGATAAATGTGAACTTGACATCAGTGTAAAAGTGTATGAAAAAAGCATTTATGTGGACAGCAGTGCTCCACTTTGCTCAGACTAGTCATTAACTCATTCATATAGTCAGTCAGACTTGGATCATTTCTTCAAACGGAGGTTGTTTAACCTCCCAAACTCTTTCATTACAATGCATATGTGGTAGGATGTTAAACAGGTAAGATAGTGACTGCTTCTAAGTTTCCACAGAACTCCACTTTACAAGGATTACTTCCCATATTTCCTTCTAAAGGCCTCCTCATGTTTTCTGATGAATTTTTAATAAATTTTTCTCATTTGCGACTGCTCCTTTTTTCCCACACATTTTCTTGTTGCCCTGTTTTAAACACACACATGCTGTAATCAAACTGTTTCACTCACTTTATGTCTGCACACAATACTTTATGTTGTTCTTATATTTAGAAGCAAAAACAGTTTGAATCACAATTGTCAAACTCAAGGCCCGAGGGCCAAATTTGGCCCTCACTACCACTTCATCCGGCCCCAAAAGTAACGCTTGAAATGTGAAATAGTTTTATGGCTTCTGTTTTTGTTGCTGTGTTCAGTAAATTATTCTCACGACAGCTGGCCAACTTTCAAGCCGAGATAATTCTGTTTGAAGTTTTCGGTAATCTTTGTTTTAGTGTGGAAAGAGCAACAGTGACGTTTTGTTTTCCTGTATTCTTTTCTTAATTCAATGTCAATTTTTTTTCACAAGTTTTCTTTTATGATAAAATGTATCTCTAAGATATAATAAACTAGAAGCACTCGGAGCGTGCAAACCTTCACCAAGACAAATTTCCCCCATCCTGTAATAGATTTACAATACTACAGTGCCACCTGCTGGACACTTTGAAACCCACGCCCTGTGAAAGCATCACAGCTTTGCCAATGTCAGAGTGTTAAAAGAAAAAAAAAATTCCTGTATCTGCATCATGATCCGGAACATCACCAAAATTTAAAGGTGTGTTCCTTGACCCAGTACCTACATGTGGTAAAAATGTCATGACAATCCGTCCACAAGTTTTTGAGTAATGTTTTCCACAGACTGAACGACAGACAGACGGAGAGATGGACAGACATACGCGACCGAAAAAATTACCTCGCCCTTGGCGGAGGTAATAAAATATTAGCTAGTACGGCATTAGAAATAAATGCTATGAGTTGTTCTAATTTAATCATTTTTTAAAATCTGTTACTACATAAAACATCATTTTGAAAAGATCATTTGGATTTCTATAACATTTTTTCTGTGTATATTGACAGAAATTGGCCCTTAGTTTGGAACAAGTTTTGAATTTTGGCCTCCTTGTGTAACTGAGTTTGACACCCAGGTTTAAATTATTGGCTTTGGATTGATTTTGATGTTATTGATCATTTGCACGGTTAGTTTAAGTAAAAACAGATTCCAACTCTTCATTGAATCAACCAGACATAATCTGATTTTTTTATGACTTTAGGTTGATTTGATGACATGCTGAAGCTGCTTAATGTACGTTCTTGAGTGGCTGTGTAAGTTAACACATTATTTAAAACATTTGTCAGGTGSTGAAAGATGTTTTAAAAAAGTCAAGTTTCAGTTCGTGTTTTAAAAGTTCATTAGACGTCAAAACGCTTCACAGGCTTTCTGCACTTCTGGACACTGAGTCAACACGGTATCTGTTTTTCACTTTCATGGCAAAGATGAAAGGTGAGTAAATTCTATTTGCATTAGAAAGAAAGGAAATGAATATGTACTTAGAGAAAAGCTTTGGGCTGGTTTGATGGCATCTGCAGCAGAAGAACCAGAAGTTTGAGCTTATTTAAACAGGAAATACTCACATTTAAGCGGGAATGAGTTTAACAACCTTTTGAAATCTTAAAAAAAATCACTGGAAATCAGTTTTTATTGTTTGCTATTTGCCTGAATCAAATTACGTTATTTGAGGAGAMTAATCAGAGAATATATGTAATTTAAAATGTTTTACTAACT